TTTTCTTTTCTTGTTTGTATCCTTCTTTCGGCCCACAGTTCTAGTAGACTAGAAAGTCTAAATATAGATCTGATTTTACATTAGTTAAAGTTCCTGAACTTGGAAAGACAGCGATACCTATTGAGGGCATTTGGTTATTAATTTTGTCTCTAATAGTAATAATTTTATTATAAAAGAAGCTCATGAAGTTGTTGCTACTTAAGGTTATGGAGATATGTGGCTCAATAGAGTTGTCAGTTCTATTAGTCCTGAGTAATAGGCTCCTCTGGCATTACGGAGGGCCTTTCTATATGTTTTAAGATTATCTTGCCAAATTGAGCGATATTCTAATAATTTCGAAGAGCGCCATTTCCTTTCAGATTTTCCGCACCTTTTGCTTTAATCGGCGGGTTTGGTGGTTGTATCATGGTGCTAGTCTTCTATGTTTTAATATTTTCCTCTTTATATGGGCGATAGAATGTAATGTTGTTCGTAGTGAGCACTATTAACAAGATTATCAATTTGCGAGGGACTAAAGTTGTTATAGGACTCTATTAAATTAAACATTGATGGAATCTCCTCCTTAAATTTAGCCATGAAGAGCTCTTCACTTACCTCTTGGTTTAAGAGAGCTCCGTTGCTAATTTGAACATTGCATCTCCCAGAAGTAAAGGTAAAGCGCCGGCATACAGTTTCTCAAATGGTGTCTCCTAGACCTGCCGACCATGTTTCCTTAAAAGATCAAGGCGATCCAATCCATGCCCCTCTACTCATGGTTCTGGTTCCTGCGCCCTGCAGCAGCAATTCCTGATTCCTCAGGAGTCAAATTCCAACAGGTGTTCTGTTTCTCACTCTCCAATTATTAAAATAAATACATTAATAATTAACTGGCTTCAGGAAGTAATACAGAGTAATAGAAAAAAACTCATTCTAATGACATTAATCTGGTGAAGATTATGTTATGTGGTTTAGAATCTGATAACAAAAAATGTGTGGATTGTGGAGATTGTGGAGAACTCCTTTGGCGTCTTTAAACTAGGGGTGGGCGATATGGGCAAAAAATAATATCTCAATATTTTGGGGGATTTTGGCGATAACGATAATCACTCGATATCCTTTAAAATGTGATTAGAATTGTCTGAGCTGGACTTGTGTCCACCAAACGCGTTTACAGCACTGAGAGAGCTCAAAAACTCATTTTCCGAGCGGCCAGCGGTGTTAAAAGTTGAACAGATTTCAACTTGAAGCGCTCTGAGCGCTGCGCTAAAAAAAAAAAACGTCTCCGCTGACATCTTTTTACCGCTGAAGGCACTTAGCGCTCTGAACGCTGAAGCCCATAGGACCCACGTCTCGGCACTAAATCATCTGAAGTACCGGTAGCTTCAGGGACTGGAGGTGCTTGCATTTTCTCTCTACCATCACAACATGCTGCTAAACTGTTGCAAGGAGGATGGCTAGCGAGAGGTCACGTGATCACGTCATGTGATCAAGTAGGCCCACTAGTTGTGTGACTGAATCCTGCCATGCTGTAGAGAGCGTTGCTGCACCGTGTATTAATGGATGTGAGGAGTTTCCGCTTGTGTTTCAATGTTTTTGTCGAAGTAATTTAAATACTCGATAATGGAAATTTGCACATCGTCAAAACAACAATGACGATATTATCGCAAACGATATATATCGCCCATCTCTACTTTAAACACCTCACATATGAGGTTATCTGCAATGTAGAGAGGAGCTTGATACCAATTTGGCTGTCACAGACAAATGCAGAAAAACTAGTCCATGCATTTGTTACTTCTAGGCTGGAGTACTGCAACTCATTATTATCAGGCTGCCCCACTAAGTCCATGAAGATGCTACAATTGATTCAGAATGCTGCAGCATGAGTACTGACAGGAACTAGGAAAAGAGATCATATTTCTCCTGTACTAGCTTCTCTGCATTGACTCAGAACTCAGAATAAAATTTAAAATCCTCCTCCTCACCTACAAAGCTCTTCATGGTCAGGCACCTTCATATCTTAAAGAGCCCTATTATCCCACCAGAACACTGCACTCTCTGAATGCAGGGCTACTTGTGGTTATAATAATTTCTAAAAGTAGAACAGGAGCCAGAGCCTTCATCTACCAAGCTTCTTCCAGTTGTGGTTCGGGAGGCAGACACCCTCTCCACATTTAAGAGTAGGCTTAAGACGTTCCTCTTAGATAAAGCCTATAGTTAGGGCTGGCTCAGGGTCCTGAACCATCCCTTAGTTATTCTGCTACAGGCCCAGACTCCCAGGGGACTTCCCATGATGCACTGAGCTACTCTCTTTCTGTCCCTCTCTTTTTGCACACATTCTTGTCCCATTAATGCATGTTCACTTCTTCCCTGCTCATTTCTAGTAGTATAGTTGTTGCTACTGTGGCTGTGCACCTTTGTCTCTGTCCTTCTCGCTTTACCCCTCTACCCCTTTATCTTCCCCCAGCAGTCAAAAAATCCTGTGCTAAATTCTGTAAGCCAGCCTCCAAAGAAACAGGTCCTTTCTTAAAGGAGCATTTCACCCGTGGAAACATTAATATTTATTGAAAGTGGGTTATATATGTAGTCGGAATGTAACATATATTTTGAAATTGGTGCCTATTTGACCGAGAAAAGACAGAAAGTGACTTTAGGGCGCATTTGTATTAAAGACAACAACTCCCACAATGCACAGCTCCGCAAGCCGCTCCCACTAACACTATCAAGGGCTACAACAACGTGAATGTAAACCATTTATTTACAGAAATATATCAACAACAACAAAAATAAATATGTTAACAAAGACAGTTATAGTTCCTCCTGAGCGTCCTCAACTCCTCGGTGCCGCAGTACTGGCCATCTGGAGCTGGATGTTTCTGTCGGATAGCCTGCACCACATCAGCGGGTAAAACGACACGATGGCCTCGACCCAATCTCTCGCCTTGCAGGACCCATTCCAGAAAGCGATATTGTCTACAAGACATTGAGCACACAGTTAGCGATGCATGGTCTTTGTGTGTAGCGTGCCACAGTAGTTAGCAATGCAACTGCAAGCTGTTTGTGCAGTAAAGAAGTTAACGTTAGTTCAGTTGGCTGACGTTACGTATTAACCGGGAATAACTTCGTGATAATAGTTGAACTAATTGTGTACATACATGCCACGTTGTTATAAGACAGAAAATAGAAACACGCATTTTACAGTCAGACGTCCGTGTGTCCGTAGGCGCACAGCGAGAGCACAGGCACCAGCAGTCCGCCCCAGCTCGAGCCAGTCCGGGCTCCTCGTACAGTACAAGAATTTCATTTTTTAACATCAGAAAATTGCAGCACTATCCGGTGAATTATTTATTTTGTAGGCAGGAAGCCCACTCTCTTTTAATATAATTGTCAAAGTCCGGTTCATTGAGCAATGATGTAATAAATCGGCATCTGTTGAAGAGTTTGCAAGACTGGCTAATATTCCAGGTGAGGGAAGCGGGAGCATGATCACTAATCGTAATAGGGTGTATGAGTATTTTTTTATATATTGGAAATTACGGAGTTGCTGGTTAAGACATAGTCAATATAAGTAATAATACAATATATAATATAATATAATAATATAAGTAGGAGTGGTGAACTGGTAAAAAGAATGCAAATTCTCTGACAGTCAGGGGTTTTAATCTCCAACCGTCACCAAGATCAAAATCGGTCATGAACTATTTGATTGTTTTTGTGGATTGGGAGGACCTCGTACTGTTTGAACTATTGGATCTGTCTATTGATGAGTTCATGACTGTGTTAGAATCTCCACCAAGTATTATTGGAGAGTCAGCATATTCGAAAGAGAGGTGAAAAAGGTGTGAATCGGTGTAAATGGATGAGTCATCATTATTTGGGCCATAGATGCAAGCAATAGTGATTGGGTTGTTCTATATTGTGATATTTATTATGATGAATCGTCCTTCAGGATCAGAGATGGTGTTATTATTAATAAATGTTATGTTTCTGTGTATTAAAATAGCTACACCTCTTTGCCTGGAGTTGAAATGGGCGCAGAAGATTTGATTCTATAGAGGAGTCTTTAATTTATGATTGTCAGGTTTCGGATGTATGAGTTTCTTGTAGAAGGCATACGTATATCTGTTTGCAATTTGTTAAAGTGTGTGAGTATCTTAAGTCTTTTTGCCTGTGCTCCAATTCCACAGATGTTCCAAATTACAAATTTGAGTGTATTTATGGTGGAATTATGTGGGAGTCTGTGTTATGGATTATTTTTGTGTTTTGTGTATGCCACTGTGCGTGCCAGTACAAACATATGTATCTGGGTATAGAGGTAGGTATGGAGTATAAGGGCAATGTACTGTATGTGTGGATGCATGTGTGTGGGATGGACATGTGTGTGACAGTTGGACATAAACAGAAGAGAGAGAGAAAGACAAAAACAAAAGAACAAAAAAGCATATATTTGTGTTGAATTCCAAGGCAGTATGCGACATGCAAGGAATCAGAACAAGTAAATGACAATAGACTAGTCAAAGTCAAATGTTGTGTTTAATTACCTGCTATGCTAAAAATAAATAAAAATCATGCTCATATTTTTTTCTATTTCTTGAGGTTTTGAGGTTGCTGTTACGTGCTGACTCTTAGCTTTAAATGGGCTTGTATTTAAAGGTGTTCGCATACAAAATGGCTACATTACAGGCCTGGCACAACATCTCCAGGTAGATATAGTACAAAGTATCGGCTAATGTCTGTGGGTAGCACACTTCAGTCATGTATATAACAGGGTACAACTGCCTTCACCCCTTTTTTAATGTGGATATAAAATGTCCACATCCACTCTGCTTAAGCACACAGATAGCAATACAAAAAAGTGTCACAGTCCTGATACTTACAGACTGTACAGTGAATCCTAGACGTGGTGATTTGTTCAAAATACATGCAGATGGACAAACCCCAAGTAGCTTCACTGTTATATTGATAAACATGACCAAAATACATTGTTCTAATCATGCTGAGGGTCTAATTACAGACATCACACAGAGTCTCTCTACAGTATGTTGGTCTCACAGGAGTCAGTCTGCAGTATCTTCAATGTAACAATGAGCTTAACGGATTTTCTAAACCAGGGATAAAAAAAGGCATAGATCATGGGGTTTAGACAGGAGTTAAAGAAGAACAAACATATAACAAAGGCAGCAGATGAAGCATTAAGAAAGTTATCTTGGCCTGTAAGAGTAACACAATAATAAGGACAGAGACATATTAGAAACACAACTACAACAACACCAAGAGTCCTGGCTGCTTTCATTTCAGATTTTTTAGCAGTTACTTTCACTGATTTCTGGAGTGTGACAGCTGCAATATGTGACCGCATGGCACGAGCCTGAGACACAGCCACCACAAAAACTCTCATATACAGAACTACAATGACAGTAATGGGAACGATGAAGGAAAAAATAAGATCTACAAGTCCAACTATGTAGTTAATAAACACAATACACTCTCCAACACAGGAGTTATACCTGCCTGGTTGTTCCAGGGCATCATTTAGATTCAGACCTTGAATGATTGGAGGCCATGTCCAACACAGACAAATACAAACTATAACTCTTTTCCGTGTGACTTTGGTGGAGTAATGCAGAGGATGACAAATAGCCACATAACGGTCAACAGATATAATCACCATGCTTCCTACTGAGGGAATGGTAATAATGTATGCTATATACTGACCCAGCACACACATGAGGTCACCAAAGAACCAGCAGCCATCTAAGTGAATAATTTGAAAGCACATTACGATACCCACGAAGAAATCTGAAACAGCCAGAGAGAGGAGGATGAGGTTGGTGGGGGTGTGGAGCTGCCTGGAGAGGAAGACCAGCAATATATTTATCATTAGTTATAATATCAATCATTATTCAGATCAAAACATATAGAGCGAAGACTAAAATACAGTTACAATACTTTGAAGATTACTCTTTTCCTTACAGTTTAAGATCAGACAATACTTTTTATCACTTTGTCACTTTCATAAATGAATGATTATCTACTTGAAGTGGGAGATAGAGATGATGACCAGCAGGTTAAGAACTGCAGTGAGGAGAGAGATGGAGGACAGCAGAATGTAAATCAGCATGGTCTCAAAGTGAGAACGCACTGGCTTCCTGCAGGAGGTGTTGAGGAGTTGTGGAAAGCAGAGTTCACTTCCCTCTAAGGTCTCCATCAGCACAGAGAGGAGAAGCTGCTGAGCTCTGGCAGCTTTATGATCAAAGCTTTCTGTTATATAACTAATTTATCTCTATCCTCCCTGTCCACACCTCCTTCCTCCTCATCTCTGCTGCCTCTTCTGGCCATAGAGATTGACCGTAGGCTACTATATCTTCTGTGCTTATTCTCCTAACTTTGTTTTATGTTTATATGTCCAGCCAGATGCCTCAAGTTGAAGTTGGGTTAACTAAAGCTGTACATTTTACTCTCCAAGGGAGTAAATTCCCTTATCATTACATTTTGCACCCATATTATAATGAGGGCCTGAGCACTGACTGTGCGAATTGTATTTGAAGGAATTCTTTTTCTTTTTCTTATTATTGCTCCCAAATTATCACATTTTTGGAGGTTGCAACATGCTCGAAAGGAGGACTTCGTTCAAATACAATGTGTAAATTGCCAGAAATGACCACTAAATCAGTTAATGGGCCCCTGAGGGGCCATTTTGCCATGCTAATCCGAAATGTTTCGTCATGACTGACATGTGCGCCGCATTTCATGAGTTTTTGAGCATGTTGCGGCCTCTAAATATGCGTTTGGGAGGAAAAATAAGAAAAAGAAAAAAAATCCTACAGATACAATAGGGCCTTCACATGGTCGGTGCTCAGGCCCTAAAAAGAGAATAAAATAGGGCCAAGGACTGATCCCTGTGGGACCCTGCATGACAAGAGAGCAGAGAGGAACTGTAGCTGTAACTTTAGTACTGTTGGATAAAAACCAGTTAAGAGCAGCTTCATGTATGCCTACCTAGTTCCTGAGTCAGCTGATTTGAATAGTATGGTTGACTGTGTTGAAGGCAATTCAATTCAATTCAGTTTTATTTGTATAGCGTCAATTCATAACAGAAGTTATCTCAGGACACTTTTCAAATAGAGCAGGTCTAGACCGAACTCCTTATAACATTATTTACAGAGATCCAACAGTACCACCATGAGCAAGCACTTGGCGATGGGGGCAAGGAAAAACTGCCTTTTGAGAGAGGCAGAAACCTAGGACAGATCCTTCGGCCAACCTCCTGTCTCCACCACTGAGGACCAAGCATCGTACCTGGGGCAACAAAGACTTTATCCATTGCTGCCCCCTCTTTCTGGAACTCTCTCCCCAAATAAATCTGAGACTCTACTGATCCATCCAAATCACTGATCAAAACCCACCATTTCAGAAGTGCTTTTATTGATTTATTCATAGTTGTGTTGTAGATATAGCTATAATTTCTTAGTGTGTTGTTTTTATTACCTTTTTCTTTTCCTTTTAACTTATAAAAGTGTCTTTGAGTTTCTTGAAAAGCAGCTGCATCGCCCTCAACTGTAAGGCATCATAGAGGATAGTGAAAACTGCCCAGCACATCACCAGCATGAAGCTGCCATTCATGGAGGGCCCAGTGGTGGAGGAAGAAGGCCAACAGCATCATCAAAGACCACAACCAACCATCCACCAACTGTGGCCTGCTGTAGACAGCAACGGAGCATCTGGTCCCACACCAAAGGTTCAACAGTATTATGGCCTGTGGGATTTCTTTCCACAGGCCATAAGACTGTTCAACTCTTGACCTCTCAAGCTCAAAAGTAACACATTGCTTGCACCTTATTGATATGTCACTTTATATTTAATACATTTATTTACACCCTTTATAACTGCATATATGACTGAATAAATATGTGAAAAAAAGGAAGGAATACTTGGTATCATGGTTTGGTCATGGTTGTTATTCAGTGTTCTGTTAACAAAATCTGCACCTAACGATATGCTCTTCTCTCCATCTCTCCCTTTCTCTCTCTCTCTCTCTCTCACACACACACACACACACACACACACACACACACACACACAAAAAAAACACACACACACACAGACAGACACACTACCTGACTGACCCAAACCCATGAGACTAGACTTGTGTCAAGTACTTAGCAAAAAAAATAGTAAATGCCCTGTTATGAATCTCTCTCATTAAGGATTCACACCTTCTTGCATTAACTTCAGATGACTGCAAACTCTAATCTCAGAGGGATCATTCCAATCATAGGTGTTAAGGAAAACATCCATATTCCAAAGTAAACATATGATGTAAAATCCACACAACACATGACGCAAACTCTGTGAGAAGACAAGACATTGAACTTATCAACATATGATGCAACCCCAGCTAACAAGACTGAAAACAGTACTCAGAAAATTAAATGTTTTTCATACAGTTGCAGTTTAAACTCTCCATAATGGACAGTGACAGTGTATGTATACCCCTGTATATTCAAGCACATCCATCATATATATCATCATATCCATTATATGATGCTTTGTCTTAAAAAGTAAAACAAAGGTCCAAAGTCTGTATTTGTCATTTACACAAACATTTTAAATAATTCGTTATAACTATTATAAGAGAGCATTTGCGTGCAGAAACCCCTTCCCCACTTAATTGGGAGGTGATCATACTTAATCTTGTGTTTTTGATAGTCTTGATTTATTTTATTGTTGTTTTTGTTTTGTTTTGTGTGTTTTTTGTATTTTTAATTTTCTTAATTTATTTCAGTTTTTCTGTATGTGATATGTTGTGGTGTCTGCACATCTAAAAGTATTTAGAAGAAATGACTTGCAAACAAACTAAATCTCAGAATTTCCAGATGGTCAAAACTGTCTTGTAGTTTACTGTGTGGCCTTCCAGCCTACCAGCAGAATGAGAGAAAAGTCCCATAACTACCCCAACTGGCTCTACCACTTGAATTATGATTTCTATGCTGTTGGTAGTCATTGCAGATAGGAATGCAGAGATAGTTAATAGTATTCATACAGTTTAGAATGAGTGGGAAATGTCTGGTGATGCTAACTTGATGTTTATTACCCACAATGTATGGTGTATTACTTTCATGGATTCAAGGTTAATTGTCAACGCATATGTCATTTCATCCACTAGGGGGTCTCTCCCATTCAAAACAATACCAAAATATGAAGTTTGACAACATGAAGTAGCTTGGGATCATGGGAGTTCTTGTCTTCACCACTATTGCCATCATTGAAGTCAGCTTCTTACCATTACCTAAATAAAAGTAAAGATTTCTCTGGGTCTGAACATTGTTGGAAACATTTGGGATAATGTAAGTACACAACTCAACAAAATATATAACATAGGTCTAGAGATTTTAGACATTTTAATGCACAAATGTTCTATTAAATTTGGGGTCAGTCATTCTTCATAAACATACAATAATCAATTATCTTTCTCTAGAATGACTGACCTAACCTTTAAGGACAACTACCTGAGCAAGGGTCAGAGCTATTCTAAGCATTGTGTGAAATTGGCATTGAAGACCATAATCAAGTTTAACTGCATGGTGCATGCAATTACCTATAAATGCAGTTTGAAATACTTTACATGATAAAAGATAGAAATCATTTCAATTTGTGTATAACAGCTGGAATGTTTCCACTGCAACAAATGACACAATGCTATTATTTCACTTCAGGCAGCTCCACTACCTCACTAACATGTTTTGCTCATCACACCATTTCCCATGCCTTCAGACACTATTTACAGGCTGCTTTTGTTGTTCATCCTTGTCTCACTAAATCACTGTGAGAAGAGTTACCTGTGTTTACAGATATTGCGACTTATCCCTTCTGCAGAGAGTTCATGATTGTTAGTAAAGATTATCAGGGAAGCTCACATCTGCTGCAATATTCACAGGAAATTGTTTGTTGTACACAACACATGAGCTCCCATGAAAACATGATTTGTAAAATTTTGGGGGGTGCCTAAAATGCTGATAATATACTATTTTTTTCTATGCATTTCAACTTAATGCAGTTCACACTTAATCGGTTGTTCTGTACTGTTTTTGTTATGCATTGAAAAAACATGTCAGTCAGATGTCTTAAGTTCACCCAATGATAGAAAGGGTCCCTCAAGGAAAAATGTTGGGAATTAGTGGTTTATTCTACCTCCTGTCTAAATACATAATATTTTTTTTTCCCTTCCTGGTTTAGAACGTCTGCTAAATGTGTTGTTATTCTTTAACAGGTGACTAAAATCAGGGTTTATCCACAACATGGTATTGTATTTGTTCCAATATGTTGAGTAAATGCACTGAAAAGCTCAAAATCTTCAAAATAAATAAATGGCAGTTGATGCCAACTTGATATTTGATGTACTGTATCTGCAGATATAATGTCTGTGAGACTGTGTCTCCCTCTGTTGTCCATTGTCAGTATTAAAACTAAAATGCAACCTGCTGCTTTTCTTAAACAATATACAGTAGATGACGACCACATAGCTGCCTTTTCAAAGACACTGGGACTGCAAATGTGCTTAAACACACACACATTTGCTGTTGTAGGCCTCAAATCTGCATAATTTCAGCTAAATGACCGTGATGTCAAAATGTTTTACTTTTATTTAGCTTTTAGTTAGGTGACATAAAAGATACCTTAAACAGTGTGAAGAAAACTGAATATTCATACTTCCAGAAATTAATAGGTAAAGTACTACCGTGGCCAACAGCAACAGAAAAGGAGTTGGCTAGAATGTCCATCTTAATTGTCTATGCATTAATTTATTTATTATCCTCCTTCCTATTCAGGAGGAGGCCCATACACAGAGGAATGACTAATAGCAATGCATTTGTCCCAGAATTGCCTTGTTCTTCTGGAATGGATGAAGACCTCTCCACCATGTCCTTCGTACCAGTAAAGCCCAGCTGCTAGTGACTGGACAGAGGCCCACCAAACTGTCTCCTGGGACAGCCAGTGGCCAGTGAAAACATATGATAATAAAGAAAAATATTAATAACAGTAACACTGTAATGTGCAAGTGCATGAACACCAAAACTGCAATGGAACTTATACAGTGTAAAATAAAATGCATTCAATTCACAATGGAAATGAACAAAAAAGTATCATATATAGTGCATATGTAAGGCATTTGGATTAATTCATCATCGGGGAAAAAAGGGAGAGAGAGTTGGGGCAGCTGTGAAGCGTTTTCCATTAATTAATTTTCTGTTCACTGTGTTTCCTTATCATGTTCTCTCTTTCCCCAGTGTTTTTATTGCCCATTATTGTACTGTATGTATTTTTCTCTATGTTGCAAGGTCAAATG